CCTCTGATCCTCCTGTGTCATTTTAAGTGATCCCCCTCCCCCCACCCCTGTGCCACTGAACACCTTCACCAGACATACCCCCTACCCCTTTATCAGACATTTACCCCCTGGGGCCTGCCTGGGGACTGTCACTGGGCTTGCTGGGGCCTGGATCTGGGCTGGAGCAGGGTCTGCCACTGACTGAGAACCTTCAGTCATCATGAGGGCAGCCGTGAGCATCAGGCAGTGTCACCAGAGACAGACCAGCACTCACCACCTTTGTGGCGTCCCGTCCGCTCTAATCCTCCTGCTCTTCTACACGCATCTACGAAATGTCTCCTCCTCTCTCCCGCCCCACACTCACCGCTCACTCCGACCTCCGCTCCGCCTCCACACAGCAGTGACGTCAGGACTCCGAGTAATGTCACTGGTTGCTAGACGCCAGTTGGGGCAACCCTAGCAACCAGTTTACGGTAAATTAATTTTCATTCTGAGACAGAGCCTAGGGGGGGCCTCATTTTCAGGGGGATGCCTTATATTTCTCTTAGAAGGAAACCTGTAAGTAGGTCTTATTTTCAGAGGATGTTTTAATTTCGGGGAAACATGGTAGATACTTATGATAACTTAGCTAGAAAAAAAATCATAAAATAACTCTCAAATTTTATAGAATTTAAAAGCCAGTGGCTTAGGTAAAATAATTAGGAAAGAGCATTGGTGAAAACTCTTGAGTTATAGAATAATCATTAAAAAAGAATGTTGCGCCCTAACTGGTTTGGCTCAGTGGATAGAACATCGGCCTGCAGACTGAAAGGTCCCAAGTTCAATTCCAGGCAAGGGCATGTACCTTGGTTGTGGGCACATCCCAGTAGGAAGTCTGCAGGAGGCAGCTGATCAATGTTTCTGTCCCATTAATGTTTATGATTCTCTATCACTCTCCCTTCCTCTCTGTAAAAAAAAATAAATAAAAATATATTTTAAAAAATAATAAAAATGTTGAGGCTCTAAATAGAAAGAAGACATGAACATTGGGTACCTGACAACCTTCTGTACGCCGAATGTCACAAATAAAGGAGTGACAGTAGAAACATGTGGTCCCATTGTCTCAAATAGATTGCTTCATTCTTGACATTAATAGTTAAAAAAATTGAGGCTTAAAATTAAAAATATTTTACTCTTACAAACATTCCTGAAAGAAACCAAGGAGGTCATGCATAAATGGAAAGACAGCCTGTGTTCATGATTGAAGAGTGACTAGTTAATATGTCAATATTACTCAAAACCATCGGCAGATTCAAAGTCCCAATGACATTTTTTGAAGAAACAGAAACACCCATCCTAACATTCATGTGATCTCAAGACTCCAAGTATGCAAACCTGAAAAGAACAACACTGAGGACTCCCACGTGTTCCTTTCAGAATGTAATTACAGAAACACCAATCACAGTGTGGCACTGGTGTAAGGACAGACGTGGCGACCAATGGAATATTAGAGAGAGCCCAGACACAAACCAAGTGATTTTCAACAAAGGCGCCAAGACCACTTAAAGGACAGTCTCTTCAACAAATAGTGCTGGCAAACTGAATGAGCACATGCAAAAGAATGAAGTTGGATCCTTAGCTTACAAACTAAACACCTAAACATAAGGGCTGAACTATAAAACTCTTAGAGAAAATTCTTTATAACATTAAATTTGACAATAATCTTTTAAATATGGCATTAAAAATAGATAATTTGGCTTCTTCAGAAATAAAAACTTTTGTGCAACAAGACATTCTCAAGAGAATGAAAAGACAATCCAGGGATGGGAGAAAGTATTTACCAATTATCAGATAAGGAATCAATATCTAGAATATATAAAGAACTACAACTCAACAATCTGATTCAGTGCAGAAAGGCCTTGCATAGATATTTCGCTAAAGAAGACATACAAATGGCCCATAAGCACATGAAGAGATGCTCAACATTGCTAGTTATTGAGGAAATGCAAATCGAAACCATAATGAGGCCCTAGCTGATTTGCTCAGTGGACAGAGTGTCAGCTTGTGGACTGGAGAGTCCTGAATTCGATTCCAGCACATACTCGAGTTGCAGGCTCAATTTCCAGTACAGGAGGTAGCCAATCAATGATTCTCTCTCATCATTGATGTTTCTCTCTCTCCCTCTCCCTTCCTCTCTGAAATCAATAAAAATATTAAAACACACACACACACACACACACACACACACACAAACACAAAATGAGAATACCACTTCACACCCATTAGGCTGGCTATGACAAAAAAAGAAAAAAAAACACACCACAAATTGACAACTGAATATGACGGAATTGGAACCCTTGTACACTGATGCTGGAAATATAAAATGGTGTAGCTACTGTGGAAACAAACATGCAGTTCTTAAAAAATATTAAAGATAGATTTGCCATATAATCCAGGAATTTCACTCGCAGGTTATACCTCAGAGAACTGAATGCAGGGATTCAAACAGATTTAAAGGTTATTGAATACCATGCTTCATAGACGCATTATTCGCAATAGCCAAAAGATAGAAACGGATGGATCAACAAAATGTGATAAAGCACATAAAACGGAGTATTATTCAGCCTTAAAAAGGAATGAAATCATGACATAATCAACAACACAGATTATGTTATGTGAAATAAACCAGGCAAAGGGCTAATTTTAGGATTCTGCTTTAATGAGGAACCAGAGTAGTCAAACTCATAGAAACAGAAGCTAGAATGTTAGTTCCCGGAAGCTGAAGGAGAAGGAAATAGCAAGTTACCGTTTAATGGGGACAGAGTTTCAATTTGGAATACTGAAAAACTTCTGGAGCTAGATATTGACATAATATTACAACAACGTGACTGTTTCTTTCCATTCTAGTAACCTTATCACTGGTGCAGAGAAGTACTCTGTGTTGGAAAACACACAATTATACTTCACACCTGCATGGAAAGCACCTGGAGGCGGACTGGCTTTGGAAATGGGACTGGTGCTCACATTCCCCACAACCCACTCAAATGTATAAGTAAACAACCACATTAGGTGATTCAGAACTGTAACTGCCAGCACATTCCTCAATCGTTTGTGCAGAAGAACTAAGTAAACAAGAATCTAGAGGACTCCTTAGGGATCACAGTCCAGTACAGGGGTTAGCATGTTTCATTCTACAGAAAACCCAAGCCTGACAGGTTTAATTAGTTCAACAATAACTTACACTAATAAAAGGCTAATGCGCTAATTAGACAGGACATCTTGCAGACGTCCCTCTGGACAAAGCCACAGTGGCTGTGAGGGCCAAGGCTGGCAGCTGGGAGAGGCGGCAGCATGAGAGAGGTGGCAGTGCGGGCCAGTCTAAAGCCACAACCCCTTCCACGGAGGCAGCGGGAGGGGGCTGCGCAGTCGGTCCCAGTGCTGCCCCTTCCGCAGAGGCAGCCACAGGGACAACGGCGTGGGCCCGGCCTGAACGCCTGGACGAGGTGCGACCTGCTGTGCCTCAACCTCCCACAGACCCTCCCACAGCCAGCCTGGCCCCAGGTCATCCCCACCCACCAGTGGGCAGGGGGTGGGGCCAATGCTAAGAAGCAAGGACCAGTGGCCAGCAGTTAGATGGCCAGCAGCCTGTCGCAGCAGTCGGCTGGCAGTAGCCAGCAGCAGGGTGATGGGGGTGGCGCCTTCCCATGATCAGCCTGGTGGCCTCCTACAGAGGGAAGCCAGACTGCGGCTTAGATCCCCCTGAGAGGGCCTATGCCATCAGTAGGACATCATTGAGAGCTCCCAGACTGTGAGAGGGGGCAGGCCAGGCTGAGTGTACCCTCCCTCCCCCAGTATACAAATTTTCATAGACCGGGTCTCTAGTACAGTACTAGTAGTAGTAGTAGTAGTAGTAGTAGTAATAATAATAATAATAATAATAATAATAATAATAGAAAACAAGGCAAAGCAGAGTTCATGTCTCTTGAGGAAACCTGAACCTTGAGATCCAACTTAATGCTGGCTCTTTCAGAGCTGGTTTTTGTGTGGATCACTGCTGTTAATAATTTGATGCTATCCAGCTAGGTAGAACCTGGGGGATTATAATGCAGCCAAACATAATTCTAGTTATGCCAGAAAACAAACAAAAGGAATAAAAAGGAAGTTTTTAATATATCAGCATCAGATTTAAGAAGCATTACCTAATAAAAGTCAGGGTTCAGTATTTAAACTTGAAATATATGTTAATTAAGAAGATTAAAATACAAAGGCTAACTCAGGAAATAAAGATCATACTGCTATGTGATAAGCATGCTATGATTTTATGCTTTTTAAAAAACACTTTTTAAACTGACTCTTAGAGAGAGAAGAAGTGAGAGGGGGAGAGAGAGAGAAACATTCACCAGCTGCCTCCTGCCCAGGCAGGCATGCGCCATCACCGAGAATCGAACAGGCAACCTTTTGGTGCACAGGACGCGGTGCTCAACCAACTAAGCCATGCCAGCTGGGGCTCTTTATTAGCGTTTGTCATTTTACTTCAAGTATCCTTGATGGATTAATTTTTCAACATGTGTATTATAAAACATTTAAGACTATAACTACACTTCTCTCAAGATATTCTATCATAAAGATTCACTGATTTGGCCAAAACCGGTTTGGCTCAGTGGTAGAGCGTTGGTCTGCAGACTGAAAGGCCCCAGCTTCGATTCCGGCCAAAGGCATCTACCTTGGTTTCGGGCACATCCCCAGTAGGGAATGTGCTGGAGGCAGCTGATTGATGTTTCTCTCTTTCATCAACGTTTCTAGCTCTCTATCTCTGTCCCTTCCTCTCTGTAAAAAAATAAATAAATAAATAAATAAAAAGATTCACTAATTTGTACAAAAGCATCCCTCGTTCATTTATTCCAAATAATAGCAAATTCCAGAAGTCAATTAAATTTTTCTTGATTATAAACTTTAAGGAAAGAATGTTACATTAAATCTACAAATTAAAATGAGTTTCACTTTTTTATCATATATTTAAATTTGAAGAATTTAGACACTACCTTGAAATGTTTAAATGTGCGCTTCCGATATTCACACCATTCCACAAAAAAGTGCAGGCTTCGGAAAAACATAAACAGATCTCTTCTTTCTTCTGCTCTGTAGGAATAAAAAAGATGACGATTAATAAATATTGTTAAATGAGAGGTCCAACCTGGCTTTACTCAATATTCTTTTTTATAGATCCTTCACTAAAGCTAAAGAAAATATTAGATATATTTTACATACTGAAGTCTGCACTTTTGAGTGTGTGCCTGCTAATGCAAAGTTTTTAGCCTGGAATATCCTTTTCTCCATCTCTAAATGTTTAAATCCTACCCATCTTTCAAAGCACCACTCAGATGCCACAGTCTCCTTGGAATTTTATTTGATAACTGCAGTAGAATAAAGAACATATCTTACTTTGTCCCTAGTTGATGGCACAGAGCTTCAAAAACCCTTAAAAGTTCCAAAACCGGTTTGGCTCAGTGGACAGAGCATCGGCCTGCGGATTAAAAGGTCCTGGGTTTGATTCTGGTCAAGGGCATATACCTTGGTTGCGGGCACATCTCCAGTAGGGGGTGTGCAAGAGGCAGCTGATAGATGATTCTCTCTCATTGATGTTTCTAACTTTCCCTCTCTCTTCCTCTCTGTAAAAAAATCAATAAAAGAAAATTAAAAGAAAAATTTAAAAAAGTTCCGAGTGCCTTTGTGATATGAATGACTCAAGGTGACCCCTAGATAGCCTCCAGATAGGGACCAGTCACCAGAATCACCAACCAGTTGATCAAAGAGATTGAAACTTTGGACCAATCAGATCTCCAGGAAGGAGAGGGCGGTGGGAGGAGCTCAATCACGTGGACAATCATTTAATCAATTACCAATAGGTAAGGAAGCACCAATACAAAATCTGGACAACAAGCTCAGTAAAGCTTCCTAGTTGGTGAACACATTGATGTGCTGGAGGCTAATGTGCATGGATTCCACAGGAAAGGGCATAAAGTCTACATATCTCCTCGTACCCCCACCTGTCCCTGTCCCGGGTCATGGCCTAATCATTCTTTCCATTTAACTGTTTCAAGGTTGTAACTTTAATAATAAAATCACAGCCCTAGGTGGTTTGGCTCAGTGGATGGAGCGTCAGCCCATTGACCGAAGGGTCCCAGGTTCAATTCGGGCCAAGAGCACATACCTGGGATTGCCAGCTCAATCCCCAGTGCAGAAGGCAGCCAATCAATGATTCTCTTTCATCATCAATGTTTCTATCTCTCTTTCCCTCCTCACCCTTCCTCTCTGAAATCAATAAAAATATATTAAAAATAATAATAATCTGGCCGAAACCGGTTTGGCTCAATGGATAGAGCATCGGCTTGGGGACTGAAGGGTCCCGGGTTCAATTCCGGTCAAGGGCATGTACCTTGGTTGCGGGCATACCCCCAGTAGGGGGTGTGCAAGAGGCAGCTGATCGATGACTCTCTCTCATCAATGTTTCTAACTCTCTATCTCTCTCCCTTCCTCTCTGTACAAAATCAATAAAATATATTTTAAATAATAATAATAATCTGTATAATAAAAGGATAATATGCAAATTGACCCTAATGGCAAAACCACCAGGAACTACCGGTTGTTATGATGCACACTGACCACGAAGGGGCAGGTGCTCAACGCAGGTGTTTAGTGTACTCCCACAGTGGGAGCTCTGCTCAGCTACAAGCCAGGCTGACAGAGTAAGTGGTGGGAGCCTCTCCCGCCTCCTCCAGAGCGCTAAGGATACTCGACTGTGGCTTAGGCCTGCTCCCATGGGAAGTGGCCTAAGCTAGCAGGTGGACATCCCTTAAGAGGTCCTGGACTACAAGAGGAGGTAGGCTGGGCTGAGGGGACCCTGTCCCCCCGAGTGTACAAATTTTTGTGCAACGGGCCTCTAATAATAATAATAATAATAATAATAATAATAAAATAACAGTTTTTAGTATAGCATTTTTCAGAGATTCTTGAGTCTTAGCAAATTATAAAATCTGAGGGGGCTTGCCTTAGCTGGTCTGGCTTAGTGGCTAAAGCATCAGCCTGCGGATTAAAGGGTCCTGGGTTCGATTTTAGCAAAGGTCCATGCCAGGGTTGCAGGCTCCATCCTCACTAGGTGGCATGCAGGAGGCAGCTGATCAATGATTCTCTCTTATCCTTGATGTTTCCATCTCTCTCTCTCTCTCTCTCTCTCTCTCTCTCTCTCTCTCTCTTCCTCTTTGAAATCAATAAAAATATTTTTCAAAAAATATCTGAGAGGGCTGTGGGAACACTCAAATGATTGCTAAGTAGGTCAGACATGCAGGGGCCCCTGAATCTTGTGCTAGCATATGAAATGGAGCAGACTTGTGGAGGATTTTGCCCTTAACCTGTGGGTCAGAATTAAACTGAATTGAAGGACACCCACTTGGTGTCAGAAAATGATCTTACCACCATATGACATGTTCTACTCCAAAACCACTAGAGATAATTTCTGTGCCTATGAGTTTGTGGACTAAAAGGGGCCACATACTAACTTGGCTAACTCAGGGAAGGCCTGGGTGGAGGTCTTACAAACTAAGAGATCTAAAGTCAGACCACAGATGTAGAGGAGGAGGAAACCAAGATGGCTGCATAGGTAAACGTCTAACTGCAGTCTCACACCACAATTTCAAAAAATACCACTAAAATACAAAGTGGACATTATCCAGAACTACAGGAAAGTTGACTGACTGGAAATTCTACAACTAGAAGGAAAGAGAAAACCAGAAGGAAAAGCAGAGGAGCTGTAAAAGCCTAAGGTACGGAGACACAGTGCACATGTGGGGAGAGGACGGAGCCGGAGAGGAAGGGCGGCTGAGTGCCTGCTTGCCGTTCCCAAGCGGGAAGGAGACAAAAGCTCCGGACTGTGCTGAACCCCAGTTACGACTGCACTGAACCCCAGTTCTGGGCGAGACCCTGGGATCCCAAGCTCATACAGAGGGAATCTGGGCTGTAAGGCGGAGCAGCGAAAGGCAGAGCACCAGAGTCACACACATTGCGTGCAGAGGAGGGACTGTTGACTGTGCCACTGGATTGTCCTAGCGGGAAGGAGATAAAAGCTCCAGACTGTGCTGAGCCCCAGTTCCGACTGCACTGAATCCCAGTTCCGGGCTCATTGGGGGAGAGACTAGACTGGTAGTGGGCGAAACTAGAGAGCACATTTCTGTCAGAGGTGCTTGCAATGAGTACCAAAGGACACTGAGGAACACAGACTCAGGAACCTCATAGTGAGGGGCTGACAGGAAGCCAAGGCTGTAGGCTCCACCCTGAAACTCCGGCTCATCCAAGCTGAGCACAGAGGCCTTTGAATAAGGCTGTCTCCTGGCATAGACACAGCTGATCCTCACAGCCAATAGGCCTGGAGGTTAGTCCCTCCCAGTGATACCAACAACAATTAAGACTTAACTACAAAAGCCTGTACACACAGTCCACAAAGAGGTGCACCAAGAGTGTCCACCTCAGATAACTGGGAGGCTGACCCACTAAACCATATAGGACACCTTAACACACAAAGCCACCCTACGAACTCAGTGAAGCAGTGAAAATGCCGAGACAAGGAAACAGATCACAAACGAAAGAAATGGAGGACAAAAAGCGACTGGATATAGAGTTTAAAACCACGCTTATAAGGTTTTTCAAGAATTTACTAGAAAAGGCTGATAAAATAAACGAGACCTATGAGGATATAAAAAAGGATCAACTAGAAATAAAGAATAAATTGTCTGAAATAAAAAATATTATACAGAGTCCTAAAAACAGAATGGAGGATCACAAGAATCAAGTACAAGATTTGGAACACTAAGACCCAGAGGACACTCCTCTGCAGAAGCAAGAAGACAAGAGAACCCAGAAAGTTGAAGATAGTGTAAGAAACCTCTGGGACAACTTTAAGCGAACCAACATCAGAATTATAGTGGTCCCAGAAGATGAGAGACAGCAAGATACCGAAAACATATTGAAAGAAATAGTGACAGAAAACTTCCCCCACCTGGTGAAAGAAATAGACTTATAACTCCAGGAAGCACACAGAACCCCCCCAAAAAAAGGAATTCAAAGAGGACCACACCAAGACACATCATAATTAAAACTCTAAGAGCAACCGAAACCAGTTTGGCTCAATAGATAGAGCGTCGGCTTGGGGACTGAAAGGTCCTGGGTATGATTCGGTCAAGGGCATGTACCTTGGTTGCGGGCATATGCCCGGTAGAGGGTGTGCAAGAGGCAGCTGATGGATGACTCTCTCTCATAGATGTTTCTAACTCTCTATCTCTCTTCCTTCCTCTCTGTACAAAATCAATAAAATATATTTTTTTAAAAATGAAAATAAAAATAAATAAAATAAAATTCCAAGAGCAAAAAACAAAGAGAGAATATTAAAAGCAGCAAGAGAAAAGCAGGTAGTTACCTATAAAGGAGATTTCTCAACAGAAACCATGCAGCCAGACGGGAATGGCAAGAAATATTCAAGGTGATGAATAGCAAGAACCTACAGCCAAAAATACTCTATCCAACAAAGCTATCACTCAGATTCGAAGGCCAGATAAAGAGCTTCACAAATAAAAAACAGCTAAAGGAGTTCATCACAGCCAAACCAGAATTATATGAATTGTTGAAGGGGGTTCTTTAGGAAGAGGAAGAAAATAAAGATAAAAATTATGAACAACAAATATGTAACTTTCAACAAGTGAATCTAAAAACCAAGAGAATTAAAAAACCTGATGAACAATATTAACTGGTGAATATAATAGAATCAGAGGTATGGAAGGGGAGTGGACTAATGATTTTCGGGGAAAAGAGGAGTGGGAGGTGCAGGAAGAGACTGAACTAAAACTGTGCACTTATGGATGAGGACAAGGGGGGGTGGGTAAGGGCAGAGGGTGGGGTGGGAACCTGGTGGAGGGGGGAAAAATGAGGAACTTTTGTAACAATATGAACAATAAAGATTTATTTTTTTAAAAAAAAATAACAGTCCGACCACAAAGGATGGTCGCATGTTTTGACTGTTAACTATCCTAAGTAAAATAAACATGAGTCTCTCGTTTTAATTTTTATTCAATCCCAGGGTGGCCATCTTGTGT